GCTGGAGCATCCTCTGTGGGATGTGGGGTTCTCTGCGTGCTCCGTGCAGCCAGGGGTGCTGTACCCCACCAGCAGCACTGACCTCGCTGTGGCATGGGGAGGTTGGCTGAGGTCAGGACGAGCCTGAATTCCAGTCACCATTGTGTCCTCCAGCACCGGGCACGGGGACCTGGTGACCAGGGGACTTAGTGACCAGAGGACCCAGTGACCGGGATGTGGTTCCCCCGTAGGGACGTGGCATCTATCTGTCACCCAACACGAGCCCATCACGTGGGCTTGGCGGCTTGGCCGGGGGATGCAAAGGGCCGACCGCATCCCTGGGCACAGCGAGGATCCCCCGGGAAGCTCCCTCCCTCCTTCCCTCCCCATGAGGCTGCTCTGGCGCGGATCCACGGCCTTATTTAAGAAACTCAACAAAAAGTGTTAAGTGAGTGGGAGGGATTTCCCTGCTGCAAGAAGATTTGGTTCCCCTCTGGATCGGCTCCACCATCCCGGGCAGGATTGGTGCTCACAGTGCCTGCTGTCCCGGTGGATGTGTTGTGCATTGGGTTGCCCCAGTGGGCACGTACCTCAGGATACATCCCAGGGGACAGCGCCACATCAGATTTCCCTACAAGGATTTCAGCTCCTCCGCCTCAGCCCTTCCCCACAAATGACTCAAAGCCGCTGATCAAAATACAGTCGTGTTCTTCGGCAATTCAACAAACTCTACCTCCTAAGATTATAGTGGGGAAGCAGGGGTTTGGTGACTCGGATATGCATCAGTTGAGGTCTGCGCGCCCGTTTTGATATCGTTATTTAAAATCAAATGATCCAAAGGGAGATCATCTGATCGTGCCTCTCCAACCCTGAAAGGGAAAAGAATACCCCGGCGGAGTAATTCATGCTTTGCTGCCCGAGGTGTGGGAGCAGCACATCTCCACTGCCTCCCAAAGTGCATCTCTCGTCTCTTTGCCACATGCTCACTGTGAGGCTGGAACCGCAGCACTCTGAGTTCTGCTGGGCCCATGCAAAGAGTGCGGGGCAGCGCTGCGTACTGCTCTACCCCTAGGAGCAGCACCACGAGCACCATTGGAGCAGAGGCTCCACGAGCTCTGCAGAGCCCCTCCTGCCGTGGTGTTCCTTCTTTTTCCCCAAGTTTGCATCCTCCGGAGAAAATTCCTTTGGAAATTCAGCTCTGGGGGAGGTAGGCTCACCACCCTGGGTTCTGCTCCATCCCTCAGCCGTGCTGGTGGGGGTCTGTGCTCCCCATGGGTTGTTTCTTGCAGTGAGCCCCTGCTGTGCACCCACACCCCAGCAATAGGGCTGTTAGTGGGGTGCAGTGCTGTGCTGGGATCGTGGCCGCTTCCGGGTTGCCCCGTGCCCACTGCTGCTTCCTATTACTCAGTTCCTTCTTCATCTCTGCACGTCTCTGAATTTCCATTGCAAAGGCTATTTGGAGGGGGAGGGTCTAAAACCATTTGGTTCTGCGTGTTATTTAATAGCTACTTCTCGATTCGAGGGGGAGAAATTGGATGTTGCTCCCAGTTCTCACAATGATTCTCAACCAGTGGAGAGGAGAGGACAGTGCATGGCGTCCCACACTGCTTGCAGGAGGGGAAGGTGCTGAGCTCTCACGCTGTTGCAGCCCGGAGCTGGCAGCTGCTCCATGGGGGACATCACCATCCCCACTCCAGCTCCATGGCACTCAGCCTTGTGGATGTCTCGTCCAGTGCTGGGCATTCCATCAGCTCTCCCTGCCCGTTTCCAGTAGTGCCCAGTCCATTCATTCCCCTTTGCTTCACCAAGTGCTGGCCATGCCACAGCCCCTCATGTTCCCTTCCCTACCATCACCGATGGGCACTGGAGCAGTGCTGATCGGCCTGTTCTCCTCCATGCTCTCTCCCTGCAATCCAAGCCCAGCGAGCTCTATGCACTCATGCATTTTGCTGGTGAGCTCTGTTGCAGCGAGCGCATTTCAAACAGGCTGCAGTGGGGCTGCTCCCCGTGCTGCTTTGGGTGCTCAGAAAGTCTCCAATCCCTTGCAGCGATGGCAGCAACAGAGCTGCCTTCTCAAGACCTCTTGCAAGGGTGGGATGCCTTCAGTCCAGCTGTGCATGCATTGCTGCAGGGCTGGTGCGTGGCTGAGGGCAATTGTGTCCATGCCATCCCCTATGCCAGCAGCTGAGCACCAGAGGATGTGGCATTTGGTGGCTTTGGGATACAATTACAGCTCAGACCAAAGCCAGGCTCGTACTGCACCTGAGGAATTGGGGATGGACACAAGGGGCAGCCCCAGAGCTGCTCCTGTCCCACACCGTGTCCTGCCTTTGGTTTAGCCCCAGGGAAGGTGGAGCAGCAGTAGCAAGGAGAACAACGGAATCCGTTGAGGTTCAGCATCAATATTCATTGCAAGCATGGAAAAAAGGGGGGTTTCCTGACAGCAGGAAAACGTAGGGTAGAATTTCCAAACAAGCTGCACTTCCAGTTCTCTGAGCAGCCCTGGAAATGGCCTCACCTGCTTTGTGCTGAGCAGCTGTGGGCTCTTTACACAGACAGTGAGCATTGCTGGGTTTGCGGATGGGGCTCCATATAGAAGGAAGCCAGCAAAGTGCTTGGGGTGCAGGGTGCAGGGTTTTCCCCTTACCCTCCCTCCTTTCTCCCGTGTGAACCCGCTGGGGGCTCCTGCAGAAGGCAAATGCCCACGCGGCGGTTCAGTGCAAAGGGCAGGAGAAGAGCAAACAGGTGCAGCAACCCCGGAAAAGGAAGGGAAAGCTTTGTGCCGGCCTCACCAAACAAGAAAAAATAATGATGAGGAATGGCAATGCTGCGGGGTGGTGCGGGATGCCGTGCTGCATGCTGTGCCCGTGGCACAGGGGCCGTGCAGGGTGACGGCGCTTCCTTCCTCCGTGCCACCAGCTCCTCCCTGCATGGCTGAGCCGAACCCTGCAGACTTTGTTCCCCTTTGGTTGGGTTTTAAATAACCCGTGGGTCTGTGTCAGTGCTCCCCAGTGCTTGTCACAGCTGGGACGGTGCAGAGCATCCCTGTGGTGGTGACTGATGTGTGTCCCCTGGGGGCTGTCCTGGAGATGGGGCAGCAGAGGGGATGCCATGCATGCCGTGCTCACCAGCGTGGGCACCTGTCCTGGGCTCTGCCTGCAGCCTGATCCTGATAGTGCTGGCAGTGTGCAGTGCCTTCGTGCCCGCATAGGGCACACAGCTCTGTGTGCAGCACTGGGGGCTCCAGGTGCTGCGTTTGGTCTCACCCTGGGGCTGGGCAGGAAATCACCCACTAGCTGCATGGAGCCGCCCTTTGACCCAGCACCTCCCTGGGATGCAGAGGGTTTCCATTCACCTCGATGTGGCTGTTTATTCCCTTTCCTTGAAGAGGACAGTGCCCCATCTCTGTGCCCTTGGCCTCTCTGAGGCTCCGCAGCCCCGGGTTCCCAGTGCTGAGGAGGCTGTGAGCCCCACACATGGCTGCCACCTGCATCCATGCGCAGAGACCCTTCTGCCCCTCACCAGGATGCACCTGGCGTGAGCAAAAGTGCTCCTTATTCTCCATTCAGTGGAGGGATTTAGCATCCAAAAGTGGGATTTTGGTGCTGGGGTCAGGGATGCTCAGCAGAGGGATGCACAGCTGCAGAACTACTCAGGGACCGCTCCAGATGCAAACCACAGCCTGAGCAGCAGCACAGCAAGGCTTCATCCCTTCCTTCCCCTCCTTCCCTCTCCCCGTGTGCCTGCTGCTCGCCCCGTGCCTCTGCCCAGTATTGATCCCCACAATCTTTCTCCTTTCGCATGGATCATTACCAAATGCTTAATGGGAGTCTGCCTTAACAACGCCACGATACCTCCACTAATAGAAACATAATTGTCAGGGTTTGCCTTATTAAATCCCCCAGCTGATTGGCGCGGGTGCTATTTTTGGGCTCTGAAATAATTAACCACGTTTCTGTGCGGGAGCTGGGGCTGAGGGGACGGTGCTGGCAGCGTTGTGCCCGCAGGGCTGGGGCAGAGCTGTGGGATTTGGGGATGGGGGGCTTATGGGGACTGTGGTGGGAGCTTTGGGGTGTTGAGGTGGGCAGCTGTGGAGGTGTGCGGTGGCAGCTTTGGGATGTTTGGTGGGGAGCTTTTGGGATATGGGAGTTTTTGGGGATGTGTGGTGAGGAGTTTTGGGGATGTGCGATGGGGTTTGGCTCAGAGGATGCTCAGTGCAGGAGCACCCAGTGCTGGGAACTGGGGCTGATAAAGAAATCACTGCAGGACTCCTGGAGACATCTGCTCTCCGCTGCCACCTCTGCAAGGGTGCAGGGGCACTTTGTGGGCGTCCTCAGGGCAGGTGCAGGGCTGCACATCACCACCTTTTTGGTTCCTATGTGGCCGAGGTGTCCCGGATCAGGCTGTGGTCCCGGGCACTGCTGTCACTGCCGTGCTGGCAGCATTGGGTCAGCCTTACCCCATGCCACAGGCACCATCCCAATGCGGGAGCTGGAGCCTCACCTTTTGAGTCCCTTCTAATTGCTGAAGTGGGAGGGAAAAAAAAAAAAAAGAAGAAAAAAACAGAGAGAGAAAAAGCAATCTAAGAATAGCTCCCAAAACTTCCTGTGCACCAGCAGGTGTCTGGGGCGCACTGCGGGGTGGGGGCAGCTGCGGGGCCAGGCTGTGCCCACGGGGCAAACCCAGGGAGCGTGGGGGGTCCCTGCCAAGGAGCAGAGCTGCCAAAGCGTGGGAGTTTTGCACAGGGCCTGGGAGTTCCCCTGTGGTGGTGTGGGCTCGGCGCTGGGACAGCGGCGGTGCAGCTGTGTTGGGTTTTGGGTGCTGGGGTGCACGGCGTTGGGATTTGGGTGGGTTTTTGGTTGATGGGCGCACGCTGCATCGCCCAGCTCTCGCTCTGTGCTCCCTTTGCTGCAGTTGGAGAGGTGACCGCCGGCGTCTGTGCCGTTGTTGCAGCCCTGCGGGCAAATTCAATCAAGGAAGCTGAGGTTGCACGGCCGATTTTTCTCTCACATGTTGCTTTTGTTTGTGAGTCACTCTCAGCCGAGAGAGCTCAGCCCCGCACTGCGTGGCAGCAGGTGGGTGCAGCCCCACTCTGCAGTGATGCTGCCGGCAGGCACTGTGCCCCCGGGGCTTTGGATCATCTCATCCCACTCCAGGGCCTTGCCGCTCGCTGCCCAGTTCCTCCCCCGTGGGTGATGCTCCAGAAAATCCTGGGGCACCACGTGTTGGCACCGTTCCTTTGGATGGATCCTTGCATTGTGCAGGGTATGATGCCACAACGGCCACTCCCTTGGTTCTATGGGTTCCTCCGGTGCTGGCGTGCCCTCGGTGTCCCCATGTTGCCCCAGATGTCCCCATCCTGCCCAGGAGAGCCGTGACCCCACACTGCAGGAGAGATGCGGCACCCGCGGCTCTCAGCCGGGCAGAACAGCGTGGCCTTGGCGGGGCTTTCCCAAAAAAGGTCTGAACTCTTCAGTTGAGTTTGCCACTTCCCTTACCACTCCCTTTCCTGTGAGAGGATGTGTTCGGCTTCTTTTCTTTTCTCTCTCTTTCTTCTTTTCCCTCCCGGCTCCCTGCCCGGCCAATGCTGCGCACCGTGAGCTGGGTGCTGACGGCGTGGCCATGGCTGCAATAGCACAGGTACGGGTGTGGGGACGGACCCGGCGCTGCCTGAGACATCCATGGTGTTTGGTGGGTGCTGCAACCCAGCAGCCACTCTGGGGAAGGGGGACGTTTCCCTTCCAAAGCAATTTTGGGAAGCATCCCCCATGGCCGGCTGTATGGGGGCTCGGGGCGGTGATGTGCACTGGGCTGGCATGGCCCCATCCCTGTCACCTCTGTGCCATGATGGGATGGGGAGAGCTCAGTGGGGACGTTGTGAGTGTGGGAGCTGGCACGGCATGGCACGGGGGTGCCCGGAATTTGGGGACTCTGAGGCTGTGTGCTGCAGCTACGTCACCAAGCGTGGGGCAGCACCACAGGGCGCTGGGGCTGGGTGGGGGCTATGGGGCTGTCTTGTGTCTGTGTTTGGGAAACATCCCCTGTCCTCCACCTTCCTCTTTTTGCAGCCTTGTGCACAGCCACACCTCCCCATGGGCTCTGGCTCTGTGCGGTTCTGCTTCCTGATCTGCTGTCCCAGTGACCCCAGCACGGTGGGCCGGCACTGCAGCACTGCCACGCTCCATCCTCATGTCCCCATCCCTTGGCCACCCCATGCTCAGTGCTCCAGTGCTGCATTCAGTGCAGTGGGATGCAGCAGGAGGAGTCCCAGCATAGTTCCTTTGTGTTTTCTCCCTTCCCACATCATTGCTGTAATGAACATCTCAGACCAAGGAGCCACCGGGGTTTGTTGTGGGATTTTGCTGCCTGTGCAGCCATTGAGAATGAGGTTGGTTGGTACAGGGGAAGCAAAGAAAAAGGGAAAATGAGGATTCTGCAATCACCTGCCAACAGTGCTGTCTGAGGGCGCAGAGCTGCTGCTGAGCGGGGTGACAAGGTCACAGCCATCCTGCCAGCACTCGAGGCTATAAATAGGGACAATTGGGAGAGAAGCACAGACTCTCTCCTTTTTAGTTCCTGCAGGAGCACAGGGAACCAGCAGGAGGGCTTCAGGGGCTGGGGAGAGGAGCTTGCAGCAGGAGACCGCAGCCCCCAGTCCTTGTGCCTATGGTGCATGGCTCCAAGCCTCCGCCACCAGCATCCCCTGCTCAGCCCGTGCCCTGCTGGGACGCACATCTGGCTCTGCAGCATGATGTTGGCCTGGAGCAATGGGACATGGAGCATTCCCACTGCAGGTGGGGGATGGAGCAGGTACAGTCGGTGCCACTGAGCTCTGCTGAGCTCTGGGCCTGGCCAACACTTGGCACAGAGTTTGGGTGTAGTGCTGGGAGTTGAGAACTTCCTCCGTTTCCTTCCACTCACATGATGTCGTGGAGAGGCTCTGACTTCCCTATCCTGGACCTAAATGCCTCCATGGTGCTTGGCTGTGGCACGAGGCACAGCTGTGCGAGGCTGAGTCCTGACCATAGACAGTACCTAAACCCTGCAGGGCAGAGCTGGGATGTGGGGCATCCAGCATGGGGCAGGCAGCCCCTGGAGGGGACCCTATGAGTGCCGTATGCAGGCGGGCTGTCACACAGCCAGCAAAGCAAGAGCAGGGTCAGAGAGCAGTGTGGGGCAGCCTGCCATGCCCTCCCCTCCTTTCCTTCTCACTTCCTTTTCTTGCACCAAAGTCTGCCTGCATTGCCCCAGCCTGCATAAGGCTCTTCTCAGCACGACACAGCCCTTCGCCAGCAGCTCGCACGCAAGGTCCATGCTCACCATGGGGGTAACATGGTGCCACTCCACTTGCTTGTTGCAGGCTCCAGCCGTGCGGCTGCAGGGACGCTAACCGGGCTGCTCGGGTCACCTGCGGCCTGGGAGCAGCAGTGAGCAGCAGAAGAGCCCCTGGAGCACGACCCACCCACGGCCACCGTGTATGAGGCTGGGACGCAGGTGAGATGGAAATGGGGCTGAGAGCAGGGGGGAGGGGAAGGGCAAAATAAATCACTGCAAGCCACAGCACAGGGGTCCCTTGTGAGGTGGGGAGAGGAGGACACACTGGGACAGGGTGTCACCCAGAGCTGAGGGTTGCTGACCGCCCGCTTGCAGCAGGATCGACCTCAGCCCCTTGGATGCCACTTGGACCCAAATGCTGCTTTTTGAGGTGAGGGCAGCTGGGGTGGTTGCCTGCCCACAGCTCACCCCCTCCCCTTTGTGCCCTCCTCCCTTGCAGTACGCAGGACCTGCGTCCGCAGAGCCACCCCTTCCGATGTCCCGGCATGAGACTTCTCCGACAACGGTGCAACCCGCCAGCAACCACCGCCCCAACGCCTGCTGCTTCTGCTGGTGCTGCTGCTGCAGTTGCTCATGGTAAGCACAGTCATGCCAGCAGCACTTTGGTCCTACATGGCTGGTTCAGCACCGAGGTGTGGGTGCAGCTGGAGCTGCAGGGATGGGGTTCCTTTGGGCACAGCACCACGGCAGCGGTGCAGGAGCGCAGCTGGGACGGAGCCGTCCCCGCTCACCTCGTCTCAGGGGTGCCCATGTGCTTTGTGCTCAGTCAGCAGCCAAAAGCCAGAGATGTGCTGCAATCAGACAGGCTGTGAGTGATGTTCGTGCAGGGGGATTGCACACAGTGCTTTGGAAAGGGGTGTTTTGGGGGTGGGTGTCAGCACCACAGCAGGTGCACGGGGCTACATGCATTGCTATCCTCCCGATGGATCCCTGTGAATTCACCCTGCCGAGCCCCAGTGCACCACAGCTCCTTCCCTTCAGCCAAGTCGTTAGAAATATATAGAGCAGAAAGCAGTATTGGGCTGGGAACCCTCATCCTGTGCTGCATCGATGGATCTGCTGGGGCTGCACGTGGGAGCAGCACAGCCAGCGGCCATCCCAAACCCAGGGCAGCAGCAGGACTGCGGTGCACAGCACTGTGCAGAGCCGAGCCCTGCTCCCTGCACTGCCCGAAGCCATCGCCAGCTGCTCACCTCCATCTGCATCCCAGCTCCCTTTTGGGCCTGGATAACCTTTTGGAGAGCGAACCTGCTCACAGCATCAACCCGTTGTGAGATTGCTGACAGCTTTGTGTGCCGCAACATTGAGCCCGGAGGAGCATCCAAACCTGGAGCTGAGCCCCTTGCAAACCCATGGACCAACCACAGCATTGATGCATCACCGCTGTGCAAGGCCCTGCTCTTGGGGCCCCATTCTCCTGATCCAGCTTTGTTTCCTCAAATGCAACAAGGACCGAGAGCAGCGCAACACCCACCCGTGTCCCATCTTGGCATCTGCAAGAGCTTGGGAGCAGAAGCAAGCGAGGATGGTGCAAGGCACTCCCAGACTCGGGGACATCAGGCACTGAGCCCTGTGGCACAGCACAGGCGGGGATGTGCCCACCCCAGCTGCTGCTCTCAGGGTTAAAGCCGGGATTGCAGCCAGGGGCAGTGTTGCAAGCAGGAAGCGCTGCGGTCGGCGCCCAGCTCCGAAATTGGTGGGCTGGGGGAAGTTGGCTGGAGGCCGCTTTCCTCTTGCAGCACGGGGCTGAGGATGGGGGGAGCAGGGGACATCGGTGTCGCGGTGCTTGCTTGCAGGCAGTGCTGGGCATCGTGGCCACACCACAGTGCAGGGTCCAGCACTTTGTCTTCCTAATTCTATCCCGCTTCCTGCGTGGGCTGAGCCCTGCTGGCAGCAGGAGGAGGCGATAGCACAGCGCGGTGTCCTGCAGCAATGCATCGGTGCCGGGTTGCACGGTGCACACAGGCCGTGGTGCCTGATGCCTGGCACAGCCGTGCCTGAGCGCAGGAAACATCGCCGCACGGTCAGGGCAGAATTGCACAAAGGAAGGGAAGGAGCAGAGGTGTGGGATGTGGGCGCCCACAGCGGGAGTTTGGTGGGCAGGAGGTAGCAGGGTGAGGTGGGGCTGCAGCCCCATGCCCAGCTGCCCATTACTACCTTTCCATCTCCCCGTTAGGAACGAGGACCGGGAGCGAGCGTGGAGGGCGTCCCGGGAGACCAAACTGGAGACCATCCCAAACTGTGAAGCGTGGTGAGTGTGGGGACAACGGGTGCATGGTGCAGCATCTCATGACACATCGTGGCATAGGAAGGTATTCACCGTGCTCCCTGCCTGCAGGGACACGTGGGGGCACCTGCACCAGGCATCCACTGCCTTGGAAATGAGACAGAGCTGCCTGCACACAGCCTGGCCATGGCTGGTGCCAGGGATCAGATGCATTAATTAGTGGCAATGATGGCTCCTGCCTTGCTTTAGTAATTAGGATCTTGCTCCCTCAGCTGTCAGTGCTGGTGCATGGACCTGCCAGCAGTGCAGCTCAGCACGAGAAGGGGTTTTGCACCCTCCTGGGTATGTGCAGAGCTGGCAGCACAATATGTCCCCTTTTGGGGAACTCAGCTTCAACCCAGCCCACAGTGCGGCCTGGCTGAGCAGAGCCAGGATAAACCCCATGGGCACTTCTGGAGATCTCCAGGAGCTCCGTAATGAACGGAGCCTGAGCAGGAGCATGAGCACAGGGGATGTGTTTGGGAGCAGCCCCTCTGGGATGGCTCAGAGCTGGGATCATCCCTGCGCAGTCCCTGTTCTGGGGGATGGATACAACAGAGAAAACCCGGCCCTGTCCCATCCTGCATCGAGCATCCCTCTCCAGTTGTAACGCCTTCCCTTTGCCTCCCACCCCGCTGACCCCACAGCTCCAAACCCACCACGGAGGAGGTGCGGGGCTGGGCGCAGTCCTTTGACAAGCTGATGAAGAGCCCAGCTGGTCGCAACGTCTTCCGGGAGTTCTTGAGGACTGAGTACAGTGAGGAGAACATGCTCTTCTGGCTGGCGTGCGAGGAGCTCAAAACCGAGTGCAACAAACACACCATCGATGAGAAGGCCAGGACCATCTATGAAGACTACATCTCCATCCTCTCGCCCAAGGAGGTACGTGGCAAAAAGGCTCTGGGAAGGTTTTGGCCCCTTCTGTGGTGAAGAGAAGGCTCGGGGGTGGGTTCTTAGGGAAAGGGCGCCCAGGTGCACCGGTGTTGGGGGTATCGGAGGGATGGTCGCAGTGCTAAGTCCCTAAATCCAACGGGACGGCATCGGGAGGGTGTTTGTGCCCAGCGGCGTCCCCGTCCCACGTCTCTGTCCCCAAATCTCCTCGCGTGGCCGCGCCGGGGTTGTGCTGCGGGGCCGAAACCTCACGAGGGCACCATCGTGCCGAGGAGATGCGGCTGCAGAGGACACCCCAACCCCGCTCCCTGCGCACGGCCCGAGGCCACTGGGATGGGATGGGTTCCTGCTGCTCCCCTCCGCCCGGAGCCGTGCGAACCAACCCGAGCCCCGTCCCCATCCCTCGTTTGGGAGCCGATTTTGTGCCCCTTGGCTCATCGCGGGTTCCCCACCTTTGGCCGTGGCACCGCGCCGGGTCCCGACGCTCCGCTCGGCTCCGCGGGTCATCCCTCGTTCCCATCCTGCGGGGCTGTGCCCGGGGTTGGCGGCTCATCGCTGGGTTCCCACAGCCCTCATTTCTCGCCCAGGTGAGCCTGGACTCGCGGGTGCGGGAGGTGATCAACAGGAAGATGCAGGAGCCGTCCTCGCACACGTTCGACGACGCTCAGCTCCAGATCTACACGCTGATGCACAGAGACTCCTACCCTCGCTTCCTGAACTCTGCCATATACAAATCGCTGCTCCAGAACGTCTCCCGTTCCTCCTCGGAGTCCTAAAGGCCGTGGGGGCAGCGGCGGGGACGCGGCACCAGGAGGGAGAGCGGTGGGGGGGTGGCGGGCACGGCCCGGCTCTTCTCCAGCCCGCCGTTTTTAGCTTTTTACCTGTGAGCCCTCGGTCTCAGGGCCACCCCCAGGGCCGTCCCCGGGTTGGGGGCACCGCGGCGGCTCAGCTTGGGCTCGTACTACTGAACCCGGTCCCGGCCAGAAGGCAGCAGGGGGCGCCCAGGGCTCAGTGCCCCCCATCGTCATCCCCCCCCCCACCCCCCAGCTGCACCGCACCCACTTTTGAAGAGGTCACTTTATCCCTTCTCCATCGCACCTGGGGATGCAGCACATCCCCGATTCCCACCTGAGACCCCTTTGGGGAACTTGTTTTGTTCTGCGGGTTTTGTTGGTTTGGTTTCTGGTTTTTCTTTTCTTTTTTTTCGGGGGGGGGGGGG